ACTGAAAATAAAAAAAAATGGTTATTTGAAAACTGCTGGCCACACAAAACAAAAACATTTTCGAAGAAAATGTTATATAATACTTACATGATATACTCTTACATAACATCTATATATTACATACTCTACGTCATATTATGTCATATGCTCTGCTATATTATGAATGTGATAGCTAAGAATTAAGCTATTAAGTCTGTGTTCAAACACTGACTCTGCTTATCACTTGAGTGACAGCAGGCAAGTTTCCTACTTCTTTTAACTCAGTTTACTCATCTATAAAATGAGGCTCTTTCTAATTATTCCCTTGGGGTGATCACTGTTTGATGAGTAAATAACACAATAACAGCTAGTCCTTGGCAACAGTAAGATCAGGATACATAATGGCTATTAACATGACTATTTAAGTTATTATTAAGAAACAAATAGGAAGGACAAATAGGAAGCCTGAAGCTCAGGTGAGGGGAGAGGAAGAGGACATTGGCCTTTCTCTACTTCCAGTTGGATCTGGGCACAGACAGGCCACAGACTGCCTTCTGAGCAGGGGGTCGGAGAGCGGGGGTTTTGGACGTGGTCTCAAGGGCCTGGCGCCTAAGGGCCAGCGCAGCAGTCTCCTGCCACAGGAGACTGATCCACGCACGGAAATGTGACCTGAAAGGGCGCCTGCACTTCTGTATTTATCGCGTTTTTAGGAAAGGAAAACACAGATAGCTCGTTTCTGAGTTTCCTGCGGGAACTACCGACTAGCGAGCGCCAGAGGAGGGAGCGGCAAGTCCCGTTGCGCAGCGGCCTCGGATGCACAGCGCACGCTGTGCTTCCGCGCAGGCTCTGCTTAGCTGCGACCTGTTCCACGCCCCCCGCACCCCGACCCAGCCCCCCCTCACTGGACCCAGGCCTCCCCGCGCGCCCAGTCTCTGAAAGGTAACCTGCATCTAATAGCTGACTTTTCCACTGGAAGAAGGGGGTGTTACTCTTAAGGTGACCATTGATAAGCTGAATGTACTAAATTTTTCTTAACACTGGTAAATAAAATTATTCTTTGTACTGTCACTGTTATACTAAACAAGGGGACGCCATGCTGTCTGGTGGACAGCACACAGGTTGTCAACCAGCGGGCAATATGCTAAATTCTACTCAATCGGTTAACGGCTCAGACCTGTCCTAGCTCCTCTGACAAAGCCACCTGAGGGTGACATCAGCGTAATGTTGTGCAGAGGTGTGAAAAATGCCGTGCTGGCCACTTCGGAGGAACTCAGCAGATGTTATCTTTCGTTCCCTTTCCCTCTGCAGAAGCACGATGTCTGCTCGATGTGATCGCAGGGCCCACATCTTCTCCCCATCGAAGCGCGTGTCAAGCAGCTGCACGACTGAGATGGAAGGGGAACTGGGCAGCACAAGCTGTAAACCCGAGAACAGCATAATCGTAAACAACAACCGCCACCGCATGCAGTGTGCATCCGGGGTCCTGAAGTCTAGTAAATAATGTGTGATTAATTAAAATATTAGCTGCTTTGGGACAGAAGTGAACTTTCTTCGCCTTTTAAATTGGTAGGCAAAGGGATTTAGACCGAATTAGTATTCGTACGTCTTTGAAACGAAAACAAATGAAGTATCACCTCCAAGGACTAAATTATGCGCTGATCTGTTCTTGGGTCCCGCACGGGAATTTTATGACTTCATTAAAAGTATAAAACACCTGGGGCACTGAATTTTCTCTGTCACACAGCTTTTCCTTCGTGAGGATGGCAGTGGCATCCCCTCCACCTTCCTCTGGACTCCCCCACTAGCTGTGACAGCCACGGCACTGTGGTTTGGGTGGATCACGGGCGCACTGCATCGGCTGCCACCAGCAGCGGTGAGGGCTTTGCCTTTTCCCCGGGGCACAGATTTCTAACCCAAACCTGCTGCCTAGGTGTCCCCTAGAGGTAGCTCTGCTTGTACGTTCACAGGGGTTCTCTGCTCCGCAAAGAACAATGCTGGTTAAAGGGATCTGGCTCTTCCTGAATCTTTCCCAGATCATGACCGTCCCCTGCTTTAATGTCCCCTCTATATTTTCTTTGCCATTACAAGAAACTGTTTCTGTGGCCTTCTCTGCTGACTTGTTCTTAGGCTTTCTGTCCTTCGCTCGCTTTCTTTGGCCACACTGTTTCTATCGTCGTCCTTGCTGACTGTTCCTCCAGTGGACCAAGCTCACCCATAGTTCAGGCCTCTTGTACCTGCTGCCACCTCTCCTCAGGCTGCCACCTCTCCTCAGGCTGTCCCGCTCCCCACGGGTCTTCACGGGGCCAGCTTTTCATCCCAGACCGCGACCAAATATCACCTACCAGACAGGTCTCGCCATTCCCCACCTCAAACACCCGCCACCGAGCCTCCCCGTCACTCTGTCTCCCACTCTCTGTCCCTGCCGAGCTCCCAGCACTCGCTGAGGCGGCCCCCTCTTCACTCGGTGTTGTCTCAGTCCACGTCCCCAGGGTTAGCCCCGTGAAGGCGGGAGCCTGTCCTTTTCGTCCTTCACAGAATCCCTGTGGTGCGTGGGAGGCAGTGTCCATGGATGCTTCGCAAATATTTCTTGAAGGAACGGAATGAATCAATGTCTGTATCTTCTCCAACTACCTAAATGTTACCACTTCAGGGTCCATTTTTCCTTCCTCTAAATATCCCTCCAGAGAGCTCTAGCCCATAATGCACAGTAAACCCATGGACCTCACTGTTAAAAGTACCAAACGACCTGTCAGAGTTCCTCACCATTCCGCCCTAAGTTTCAATTGCTAGCAGCTCTGACCCAACTGACTGCCCTTGATTTAGGCTGGAACCAACAAATCACGACCCCGATCTGTCCCCAGAGGCTCCAGCGCCTACGTAGCCCTTTAAGGCATCCGCCCAGAAACCTAGCTTGGGGTGCTCAGGGGCGCCGCAGGCCCTCTCCGCACAATGACTCTTAGGAAGGGGACGTTCATGACAGCCTAAGACAGTGAGGGACCCATGAGGCCCACTCCAGTCTGGCTGTTAGCGGGCATCAAACCAGGTAAGCTTTACGTAAAACAGGTAAGTCTCAAAACACCCCGTCCTTCTTGCTTTTCCACATAGCTCCCTTGGGTGCCCTCCATCCTCTCTAGAAACATACCTCCTGGGATGGGTGGAAGGGCCTGCTCTCCCAGGTCTGCTGCCCTCCAGCTACCTGGACCGGAAGGTGGCCTCTGCAGGATAACCGCTGGGCGGCTTTGGTCTCCCGCGGTTCCCTCACGGCCAACAACTCAACTCCTTGCTGGCCAGAAAGGCCCTGAGTGTCTGAAGTGGTTAATTTGATAAAGTCCTTTGCGCTAGAACTGAAAGAACCCGGAGGCTTCTTTTCCATCTCCAACAGGCTTAACTGCAGCGTTTTGAGATAACCATCCTCTTTGGTGTGTCACTCGAAGGAATGTGGGAAGGAGTGAAAATTCTAGGCCCGGTAGGAGGGGAAGGTGAACGGCAGGCTGGGACTGATGCCTCTGAGGAGTAGCGGGCTGAGCAGCTCAAACTTCTGAGTGTGTGGCTGACGACTGTCTCTCACAGCTCTCCGGAGCTTGAAAGACAATGGACATGAGCACGTCCTCTGGGGGAAACTGTTGTCCACTTAATGCTTTTGCTTTTCTGGTGACTCCCAAACATCGAGTCCCAGTCACTCCCCGCTCGCTTCTTCGGCCACCCCTCCCCCACCCCATGCTCTGTCTCTTCCCATGCCCATTTCGGTGACATCTTTCTACATGGTTTACTCCTGGAATTGTCTTCCCCTTCCCATGTTTCTATTTTCTTTCAAGTACATGCTCTATTGTCTTTTAAATCCCTCTTTTGAAATCTGTTACTTGTGTAATGTACATACGAGCTCTGAAATTTTCGCCCTCAGGAATGAAATAAAGAAGAAAAGATGGTGAAGGAAGATGAGAGCAGCATTGTATCTGTTTCTCATCTTCCTCTGTGGATCTCAAGGGAAGACAGAAACCAGGCCCCCTCCTCGAAACCACTGCTGACGTTGGACATTTCCTGATCTCCCTCGGTGGAACGGAGCTCTGGTTATCTGTCT